ATCAGCATCTGTGCAGTGGCTCTTGACCGCAGGACAAATCCCGCTTGGGATTTTGCCATTCCTCTTTCTCAAATTCTTCTCCCAGTTGTTGTCACTCAGTGTCTGGTTTCTCATGGCACAGACAAACAGACACACAGAGACAGTATCTTTACACTCACATCAAACCAGCTGCTTCAGCAGGCATGGCAAAGCACCTTGCGCTTGCCAGCAGAGCGTGTCCTGGGGAGATCCCACTTGTGACGCCAATAAAATGTCACAGTCTGTTTGGGTATCTCAGTTTTACGGGGAACCGCCAGACAGAAGGTGACAGCTGCAGGAGGCAGCACTTTGCAGGTGACCATGGCTGCATAAAGGCCCTTTAGCTCTTCCTGGTCACCTGTCCTGCCTACCTGGTGCTCTAGCTCTGACCTAATGACACTGCTACCAGCCCACATCAGGCCTCAGCACGAGCTGGGTTAGCCAAAACCTAAGCAGGAGTTGAGTGAACAGTCACAGAAAGGCCAGGGTCTCAGACAAACAAAAATTAAAAAAAAAAAAATTATTTATCACTGATAGAAGTTGGGGTAGCCATTTTAAAATGGAAGATGGTAGATTTACTTTAGGTATTAGGAAGGAATTCTGTGAGGGTGGTGAGGCCCTGGAACAGATTGCACAGAGAGGCTGTGGATTCCCTATCACTGGAAGTGTTCAAGGTCAGGCTGGATGGGGCTCTGAGCAACCTGGTCTTGTGGAAGGTGTCCTTTTCCATGGTGGGGGGTTTGATACCAGATGATGTTTATGGTCCTTTTCAACTCAAACCATTCTGTGATTCTATAACAACTGTTTTCTTCTAATCCAATTACACAGTGCCACTGCCTCGTATGTATGGAGTGAAAAGAATATTATTTCACTGAACTGACCTTGGACATGTGTCTACAGCTTTGTCTGATGATGGTTACACACTAAAATAATATCTCATCTCTGTGGCAAATCTCTCTTCTGTCCACAATGAAGTCCACTTTATAATTCCATTTTTTGGCCATGTTTACAACAATATAGCTATTGCAAGTGTGTAGAAAATGCAAATAACGTGCTTATTATTTTTCCTAGTCACCTTTCTCCTTGTTGCTCCCTCAGTTATGAATGCCTTGGAGAACAGATCATACTTGCTTAGTGCCTGAAAATTCCTGAGCTTTTAGGGGGAGCTACAGTAAATAAAAAAAGTGATGCTGAACTCTATTTTCACTGAAATTAAAAAAGTAAGCCATGTTATAACCTGATTTGGTGTGATTATACTGTAAATAGGCCATAAACAGTCAAAGGGAAAATAGCCCATAATATTCACACCATTGAGAGACCGAGGTGGTAATCACTGTTCCTCCCTGCTGTTCAAAATATTTTGCAAGTGTCCCCGAAACTGCATTGGCAGCAGAATGTGGCCCAACTCAAGGGTTTTAATGCTCCTGATAAGTAGAAATGATTTTTCTCCTCGAAATTTTCAGTGAAATAGTCTGTATTTTGCAAAAAAAAAAAAAAAAAACACATAGCTATTCACTGCAAAAGCACTAAGAAAAAGGCAGAGACTATCAGAAATCTTTCTGACAAGTCAGTTCCATGTTTTAAAAGAAATTTGTCCAATTAAGGAAAAAGTACAAACGTCGAATTTCAAAAATAGGCACGTTCTATCTGAAGATGCCAGAGAATTTCAGTGTTGCTTGCTGAAGCTAATAGGGAGCATAACCTCCACTTTATACGTGGGGAAACAAGAAGACAAATTTACCTTCAGCTCATTTTTCCCCTTTTCCCCAAGAATTGTTACACTTCCCGTGCCACAGAAAGAACTGGCATTTTAAACTGGCAATGTAGCTTACCTTTAAGACCACAAACCTTCTTCACAAGCAGCATGGCTATCTCTGCCTGTCGCAGAGCTACGGAAGAGCAGGGAGGGAGGGACAGGGAGATGCTGTGCTTTTCCTGCCCTTTGTGGTGAGAACCTTTTTCATCTTATATCCATGCTCACTCCACACTTGCAAATATTTCCCCTTCATGACCTGTTAGTTCTCAGCATCCTTTTGGGCTCAGTGATAATAAGGATATAGTTGTTTACTGTTACTCCATTAATATCCAGAGGCTTTGCTCAGCACCAGGACCCACTGCAGTGTGTCCTGCTTGCAGCACAATTCTAGATGTTCTCACCCTAAAAGCCTTGCAAGTTAAACAAACGAAACAGACCCAGGCTGGGAAAAAGAATTTGCATCTGTCCATGTCTTTGAGACCCAGAAACTGAGCCCAGCATCGTACATGGATTCTGCAGTAGCAGAAGTCTGCAGAAAATTTCAAAATACAGGGCTAAATTCATCTTGCTAACAAAGTCATTCTCCATGAGCAATCACTCAGCTCTCTGTGGCACAATTAAACTCTCAGTGGCCTCCAGAGAGCACAAGCACGACTCTCTAAACTGGTGATTAAGGTGTTTGCCTGTGAGGGGCAGACATACCTTTCAGGCCTTTTTCCAGAGAGGGTGCAATGTGAAAGAGTTAAGTGTTCATCGGTGCAGGCTTTTTTCCTCCAGAGTCGTGGCTCTTGGCTGCTCACCTGCAAAGGTGTGCTGTGCCTTTCTAGCCCAAAGAATACTCAAATAACCAATTCCAAAGGAAACAGTTGATTTGAGACTTTAACAGAATAATCAACAGCACAGGGAAAGAGCCTGACACTTCCTTGGACCTAGATTCAGGTTCTCTCAGCGAGTTGAAGCATTGCCTTCTGAACACTGAGCTACTGAGTTGAAAAAGGCCACTCTCTGATTTTTGTCACCTGCTGCTTATGAGTTTTGTCTTGTCTGTGGATAAGGTTGGTGTAAGAACCAAAGGCAACTTCAGGTCTGTCAGCACAGGCTGGGGAGAAATTCTTCACTGCAGTTTCATGTTTATCCATTATAATCCAGTGTAATTGCAGACTGTCCCTAAAATATGCTGCGCTGAATTTTATAGCACTTTCATCATCTTTTGGATCTGGGTCACGCTGATGGTACAGGTGGCTTCAAATATAAATACAGGCCATCACATGGATGGGATATACATTCCTGGCAAAACTGGCAGCTTTACTTACGTTTTTCTGTGTGAGAAATGATTCAGAAACAATCAGATTGGTTCTGGCTTGGTGTGGCAGATTGCACTCAAGCACGCGGCAGCCTCCCAGCCAGCAGGGAGCTGGGCTAAATCACCCACTGGAAGTACGAGCCTGCTGTAGCATTTAGCACTTCCTTGGCATTTAACAGCAAAACCCAGCAGAACCACGGCTTCTTTTTTGCTTTCTCCTACCTCCTCTCCCAAGCCTCAAAAGATAGCAAATGCCTCTAAAGTATCAAAGCTTCAAATCCAGTGTAGCCTGGCTATTATTCCCTTCAGCTGTGAGCATGGCAGTTATGGGGATGGGATGAATGCACCCCATCTGGATCTTTTAAAATCTGTGTTTATTATTAATTCTGTGGCTTTTTAACCTGACTCTGAGTTTGGAAAGCAGGCAACTGTCAACATGGGGCGATGCAATGCCCTGTGCTTCTACTGGACTTGCACCTGCCAACGGTAAGAGACCATCTTGTAAGATCAGTGTGCTGGCTGGAATGGGAGGGCTAGTGTAAGTTTGGGTGAGATTAGCTACTGGGCAGAGGAAGCTGCTCTGAGGGAAAGATCTTGCCAAGAATTATGGCAGGCTTAGATTAGAAAGATATTGCATGTGGCACATTACAATGGACACACTAAGAGTCTTCCCATTGCCTTATTCTGTCATATGGACTGAGTTACACACTGTGAAAACCACGTTCTTTGCATGAAGGAGCAGAATAAAATACTGTTTGGCTTAAATCTGTTCCTGCTTGTGAATGTAAATTAAATCTGTTCTCCTTCAAATTTCTTTTGTTCTGCTGCTTTTATCTTTGTGCAGATTTTCCTTAGTGACTCCTCTGTTGTCAGCCTGGTCCTGACAGGTAAAAATCATGAACTCTTCTAATATTACAAGCTCTAGGAACATATACTCGGCTGGGGGTAACGTGGAGTTACAGAACCCCAGCCAGAGGGCACTGGTACACTGGCTTTTCCCGCCCTCCTCTGTGCAATTATTTTGGGGAAAGTTCTGTAGGCCAGGGAAACTGTGTTCATAACATCCACTATTTAAGGCTCTCGCTCAGGTTCTTTCCTTGCAGCGAGAACTGATATGCTGTCAAAGTTGACAGTACTATGCCAGTTTATTGCACCAGAAGACCTGGCCTTTCCTTTCCTCCCAGCTCCTGATCTCGGCTGCTCCCATTATATGAACCCTGTCTCAGTCCTGCCCTTAATAAAATCTCCATGCTCCATATGCTCCCTCAGCCTCCCTTTGATTAGTGCTCCCAGAGTCTTCCTCGCTGCTGACGTCGGGGGCATGCACAGCTCTGTAATTTCCCAGCAGCCCTTTTCAAACACTGGCTTTTAATCAGGAGCTGTTTTACCAGCACTTCCTTCTCTCACGGCGCGCCTTTGAAGCGAGGCCGCCAACAGTGGTGGGGTTCCTTCCCCGCTGCCCTTTTTTGTTGTTTCCATACAGGATTCTAGGACAGAATTTCATAGCTTTTTAAATGCTCTGATTTTTTTTTTTTTTCTGTGCTGTGATCCTAATTTCCTTCAGGATTTCTTCTTCATCTCCTGGGAAATTTGTCTCTATTTCTGGCATCTGTCCTTCCTAACCCTTCCCACGTTTCTTCCCTTCCAAAGACAGGGGAAAAGAATCCATTTAATATTTTTCTGTAGTAATGTCTATCTCATCTGTCAATAAATTACCCTTTGCCATCTCTGGGAGACCCCTTTGTCTCCTTTCACTGACCTTATTCTGTACCTTGCCTGTTTTTTTTTTAAGGGAGGATGCAATATCCCTGGGCTGTCATTCCATGAAGAACAGCTGTCATTCCTCCCATAGTGCATGCGTATGTGTTTGAGGAAGGAGGGGAAAGGGAGGGGGGAATTAGGGGAGGACGAGGATCTGCTATTGGGAAATACAGTCCTATTCACAGTGGTAAATGTTTTTTCATTCATGATATTCAGCTGCAATTCTGTCTTTTTCTTCCTGTGGTTTTAGACATTCATTTTCAGAATAACAGAAATCTAAACACTCATCTCTCTGAAATGGAACTACAAGAATATTTATTAAACATATTTTTAAAACTCATTATGTATGAGTTTTATAAATTTCTAATTTCTTCATGGTCTCTGCTACTGTGAATGCTATGCCATTGTCAGAGCTGCAGCCTAATGCTACAGAAGTGGATTCAGGAAGCATTATCTGTTACTAAAAAACGTATGACTTCATATATATTCATCATTACAAACTGAAATGCTCACTGAGAGGGTTAGAGAGCATGGTATAGTCCTGCATGTCACTAGCTGGCTGTGCAGACCTGCAGAGGGAAGAGACAGGTCCATGAGTCCAGCAGTTCCTGCCCTGTCCATACTGTTCCTTGTGCTTTGTGAAGCACTGCAGTCCCCCAGAGAAGGCGTCGCAGAGCATTCCCTGTGTTTCTTGCGGTCCAGTGGCTCTGCTGGTCACATGTAGCACAAGTACACGCTCCTTTCTTCCTGCCCCTGCTCCCACACACAGTCTGACCATAAATTAGTACAACTTAGAAACGCAAATACTAGTTTTGATCAAATTTTTACCAAAGTATTTAAAGAAACAAAATAACTAAAAGAAATCCAACAAAGATGCCCTCACCTCCTTAGCATCTGGTAATTACACTTCTGAATGCATTTATTCTCGCAATAGAGACATGAAATAAGGAAATGCAGTTATTACATATGGTGTGCAGTAGGGGCACAGCAAAGTGACCTGGTGGTACAAGGCACAGCATGTGCTGGGGCCCTCATTCTCCACAGACCTGAGTCAAAAACCTGGTGGAACACACTGTGAGTCTTGTCTGATCCAGCCTTCGCATTTTCTTCATTTGGAAACCAGCAACAGGCACCCTGTTTGTGTCACAGCCCAGAGCCAGGCATGGCCTCTGGACCTGCAAGCCCAGTGGTGTTCCAAGGCTCCAGATTAACCAACACTAGAGAGAGGTTGAAGAACTTAAGTGAAGTCAAAAAGGATGTCTAGATATGATGTACATACCAAACTCCTCACTTCCTTGTTCTGTGCTAGCAGGACATCAGAACATTTGTCTCTTAAAAGCACTGTACTACTCATTTTACAACTGCTTTGCGATTGATGTCCACTCTGGCCCTTTCTCTCTTACCTGATGGCTCTGACAGTCCCTGCTGGATTTAGCTGTCCTAGCTGGAAAAGTAACCCATCTCCACAGCTAGAGGTAATAAATTCTTTAGCCACCACAGCAAAATACGTTGATATGATCTTGAATTAAATCACTCGTGTCTGCAGTTCTCAGTCCAGGACATCACTGCAAATTGGTATCAGCTGAAATCAGATATACATGAGTGCATCAGGCTCAGGGCTGAAACAGTTTGCACTGCCCACAGCGTTCATTGGGCCACCTCTTCCTTGGGATAGCTGCCTCCAGCACCTCAGAAGTGCAGAACAGTGATACCTTAAACTTCTCCAGGGTGAATCCCTAGGGCTTGGGAACCAGAGCCTTTACTTCCTTGGAAACAGCCTGTGGCTTCAGTGACTACGGCTCTGTTTGCATATGGAAACAGGGTTTTCAAATGTGTCCTTCTGCTGGTAATACCAACCCTGCTCAGCACCAGAAAGAACGCTGGGAGTCTCCTGAAGAATGGCTCCTGGCTACTGGCATCTTCAGGACTATCCCATGTTAATTATTCAGGTCTTCTGTAAAAAGACACCTGTGGCAACTGGCAGAGTAACTGCACAAACATTATCAGCCTTGAGGCTGAGAATCTGTTAAATAGCCTTAGCAATAGAATATTAACACCTTGATGATGAGTGAGAGTGGGTGGAATAATTGTCTGCTCAGAAAGAGGCACCTTTTTTTCTCATTCTATTCCTGTAGTTGAATCCTTATCTCCTGGATAAATAAAAACAAACCTCCCCAGTTATTATTGTTCCTGTTCGCCTTTTGAGTCTTGATTAGATTTACCACAGATACATCCCTTTGGCAATGAAAATGGAATCAACACATTTCTGATGCACTCCAGCGGAATTCTCACCCCCTGCTCCACCCTCAGACCACCAAGGTCCTGGTTTTCTGAACGGCTGTTAATTACCCGTCCTTCTAGCCCATGGATGAGGTACCATTTCTGAGAGATTACTTGCCCTGACCAACAGACTGTTCTGTATCACTTTGAATCTTTATCTTATTTTTAATCCTCGGCACTTGGAGCCAAACCTGATACCTTTTTGAAGACGGAAACTCACAGTGATAGAAGCTGCCTCGCTCGGGCTGATTCTCCCTTCTATATTTTTCAGCATTTTCCCAGATGAGGCCCCAGGATTATTGCAAACCAGTCCCAGGAAGAAATGCTGCTCAATTAGGCGAAAAGAAACTCGAAGGAAAAAAGGAGTAGAGCCAGCAAATTGCTTGAGATAACAATCTCCCCCCACCCGTGTGTCTCTGTAACTAAGAGGATTAGCTGAACTTTCTGTGTCACACCAAAACTGACAATAAGCAACAGTGACTTCCCCCCGCTGGCACTTGTACCTTCACATGTTTCATTTTCTTGCCCACACTACTGCCTTGCCCCTTGCTGATTGTATGACAAACTTGGGGATGAACATGATGGCTCTTTCCTTTCCTTTAAGATTTATGACTCAAAGCCAAATAAAACCCAACTCAAGTTATTACATGCTCTGTTTCCTCCTAACAACAACTCACTTTTAACAGCGTAAGCTAACCAAGGAAACATGGAAATATGGTCTCCTTGATCTCACCTGATCTATCTGCTGTTAGAGACGCAAACAGCAGCCTCAGGTGTGCCAACACGGGAGCAGGCATAAAGACATCCCTTGGGAGCAGGACCAAACGTCTGGAATATATAAAGTATAAGATCCATCAAAATTCAAAGTAACTGAGGTTCTGTGTAGATACAGCACTGCCAGCAAGGAGTTGGATGCTTATTTCAAGTTAAGATTTATCATTGCCTGGTAGGAGGACTACCCAGGGTACTCTTGCAGTGAAGGGAAATAAACTTTGGTAAAGGACTTCTGTTGCCAATTATGGAATCAGCCCCATGTTCCTTTGACAAGGGTGTATATATGATGAAAAATATATGGCTTGTGGCTGAAGGTGATCAGGCATCAAATAGTTCCAGTTTCTACAGTAAACCAATCCCTTTTGCTGAGCTGTGTAGAACATCACTTCAAACCAGGTGAACAACTCCTTTCCATGGGCCTGCCACAGAACTTGAAGGAAGAGAGGAAGTTTGTTCTACAAGAGAAGGCAAAGGAGGAGCATTTTCCCACCAACACATGGTCCCTTCCCTTCTCCATCCTGAGTTTCAACAGAAGACCCTAGCAGAAGGTGGTGGAAATACAGAAGATGAATGTCTCTGATACCTGAAGGGCTGCACACAGGCACACTGACCAAGTAAACACCTGTACCACAGTGAGGAGAGAAGTAGGAAGCAAGAGGAGGCAGGAGAAGTAGAAATGTTTTCACATTGTTGTAAAGTAGATACCAACACACAAAGGGAAGGTTGTGACAAAACCAGTTGGGATGTGGGACTCAGATGATCGCCACCAGGGTAAGGACTGGGGGTAAATGCTGTCACAACAAGATATGCCGAAAGTGTTAGGGTTGGGTCATAAAATGCATGGGACTTGCCAGTTCTTGTAAAGTGTTTTACTGAACTAGGCCTCTGTGCCACGTGCCCTCTCATTGCTACTCAACTCCCCGGACCTAAATTAAATCACTATGGCACTTCTGCCATGTTAAATGGTGCAAGCAGGTACTCTCAGGTCACATAAATTCAGTGAAGTAGTGGTTTGGGGATCCCTGTACAGCTTTATTTGCGATCAAAGGGTATGGTGTTGTGGGGGAGAAATACTTCCAGACAGATTTAGACTTTTACTCCAAAAATCTCTTCAGGCATTGTAAAAACTGCCCAGTGTATTGCCATGGGGTAAGACTACCTTGTCACTCTGTAGCAACTCCTGTCTCGCCTATATGGAGCAGCAGTTTTAGTTCAAAGGGATCCAGGTCCATTCTCTCTCCCCATTTACATGAAATGGGACTAGAGTGGAGCGTGGCAGCCTATTAACAGTGCCCCACAGCACTGCAAGAGTTCTGCCTAGAGAGTGAAGGACACCGTGTCCAATTGAAATTACAGAGGAATTTGGGGTAGGCAGAATGTAATTACACAATTGAAATTTAAACTGTGAAATTAAAAGGAAATATTCAAGGATGAAGGGGCAGAGAGAATCCCTAATCTCCAGCCAGGCTAGGCTGTGTGACAGAAAAGTCCCTTTCTGAAGAGGGAATAAGTAGGAGCTGTCCTGGAAGAAAGGGAGGTAGAGAATAAAGACAATGTTTTCAAAAGCACCCTAACTCCAGCTGTGTGTTTGTTTCATAGGCTGTGTCTATTCTACAGAAAACCTTGCGGTTGCTAAAAGGCATCAGATGTGTCCCTCTTGGCCCCCTCTTCACCGAGGTCAGAAACAATTTGGTTCCTCATGTAAGCAGCACCAAGGCATTCCCAAGGTCTACAGCAGAAACTATGCTGGACAAAAAGAGGAGTGCAGCCCTCTTTTTCAAATGGGTACAAAACAGAATTTGCCCTTCTGCCTGGAGTTTGTCAGACTGCTGGCACTCTCTCTGTAGTGTCTGAGGTTTTACCAACTCTTAGTTAATAATTGTCGTAACAAAAATATTTTGCATTTATAAGGGTTGCCCTGTAGGAAGGGGAGGCAGAGAAACCCACTGAAAGCAGATCTGTGACAGTTTCGAGTGGCAACTTGAATCAGGCAATTGCAAATCCTGCTCCCCCAGAGATCTGAATCAAGTTGTAGGACTCCACTGTAGTCCCTCTGGGAGCAGAGACAGGTAAAGATGGAGATTCAGCCTTGTGGATCTCCAAGAGAGGAACGAGGACAAACTGAACAGGGTCCTTCAATCAAGGCACAACAGATTGAAATGGAGGCTCCTCTTCTTGGGCTGCCCAGCCACATATGCAACTGAAGACAAGTCCCTTAATTTCTCTCCTTTAGTTTATCATTGCTAAAAAGCACAGTAATAATTTCCTGAATCTTCTAAGCTGGTGATTTGTAAGATTAACTGGTTAAAGTAACTGGTTAAAATTGGAAGGTTCAGAAGCTGCATTGATGACAACCATTGAAATGCATACAAAAAGCTGAGATAGAGCTAAAGTAAGTGCAGCCAAAGCAACAGAGAGTGAGAAATAGATTGAAAAACCCACCTGAAAAGATAAGTGTCCTATTAGTAATTACCTCCCCCTTTCCTGAGGACGTGTGAAGGTTCTGAATTAAGGTGGGTTTTTTTAATATGAAAATGAAAAACACGCTTCTTTTCGTCCATGCTCCATTTCTTATCTCCGAAAAAGCAGTTAGCTGCACCTGGGAGGGGCAGAGTATTATAAGATGGTACAACTTTCCTGCTACAATTTTATTATCCGAGAGCTTCAGAGGATCAGCAACAACTTTCAGAAAAAAGAGATTCAGGGGTCATCCTTTCTCCAGTCCAGAGACAACAGAATAGAGGCAGAACCAGAGCTAGAGAGCAATCTGGTCAAAGGCAGCCAGAAGAGTGTGCAGGGGGAAAAAAAGCCAGCCAATATATGCAATGGACAATCTCCATTTCTCTTCTGCTGTTCGTGCTCAGCACACACAAGGTGCGTAGGAAGGAGATCTGAAGAGGGGGAAGAGCATAATACTGGAAAGAGGTGGTATGGCGGGTCCTAAGCCTCAGGCACGAGGGGGGACTGTCGGAACAGGAGGAGGGCAGGGAACAATGCAGGAGAGAAAGGGAAAACAGCTTTGTGGTTAAGTGCTGCAATGCACAGAACACGTGGTGCAAGTCTGGGTCCTGCTGTATCTACTGTGACACTGGCGGGACTACGCATGGTCCGTATATTGCTTTTCTTCACTTCTCCTCATCAAGAAGGTACTAATCCTAATTTTCCCTTGTTCATTCGCTGCCATGTCTCTAAATTGGAAGCTTATTGAGACACAGACTGGTTTTTGCTATTCCTATTGATAGCATGCTCAAAAAATGAGACTAACAGGGAGACTTCGGTCACGCTGTCAGGTAAACAGACAGAAACATTCAGAAAATCAAGTAACAGTGAGACAATCTGTGCAGTCTCCAAAGTGAAAGGCACAGAGAGGTTTGGGGGGATATGCATGAAAACATAAGGGGCAAAGAACGACTGTTTTGAGGCAGAAGCCCCTTTTAAGTACCTGCAGGACCAAAGGGAAAGCTGAAGCAAACATGATCCTAGAGACAGGCCGTCCTGGAGGAGAGAAATCTGATGTGAACAGGACACATAGGATACAGAGAAGGGGGACACCGTGTGAGAAAAGCAGCATCTGGCATTCCCATCTGAGTGGCACGTGGAATTGGAGCAGAGCAGATAAGTTTGCTCTTAATTTCCTTATACACTAGAGCTGTGTGGGGGAAAGGATAATTTCCTTTCCAGTGTGATTTTGCTTAAATATAGCAATTTGTGTTTCTTTTGTCCCCTGCCTTCCCACCTTGTGTTTCTTTTGTCCCTTGCCTCCCTACCTTAAAAAAAAAAAATTGTGTCTGAAACACTACTGAATTAATTCTAGCAGGAGACAGAAAATTCAGAAGGTCATATAGCAATCATAGAAAATTTGGTGTTATAGGCACAAGTCAAGCAGGCCAAGGAGGGCTGGGAATTAGGAGGTATCTGGATCAACATCAAAACAATGGACCCAGATATGCTGCAGAGCTTTAAAATATCCTTGAATACCATTTATTCCCTTTATGCATGGTGTTGATTTTGAGCACTGTATTGCTTTTCACTGCCAGAATATCTTTTTAAAGCAAAATCCCCGCAAGAGGCAATTCTATGAGGCTGACAAGTCCAGTCAGAGAATGGAAACACAGAGTCCTGCACAGCCCTGGCTGTGCTTTGGGCTCTGTTTCAGCAGAGGATGTAAGCACGTTCTTAACCATCACTGTGAGCCCAGTCTCGCTGGCTGCAGCTGAACAACTCAGTTTCCTACTTAGGTCTTTTTGTGAAATGAATCCAAAGTGCTCAGCTTCTCGTAAGGCTAAGCTTTGTATCATCCTTGTGTCCAATTATCTCAAATTTCAAGTATTTCTAGCAAGTTGCTCATGAGTAAGACACCAGTCAGGCACTATGTGGCACTCACAATTGAAAGAGAGGTAAAATTTATCTGATAAATTATTCATCACTAATGATTTGGCCAGCTTTCCTGGATATATAGCCACAGGGATGTATGACACCTTGGGGAAGGCATCAGATAGAGATGCATTCAAAGAGAACTAGAGGAGAGGATGCAGACACAGATCCAGAGTAATCTAAAGATCTAAAGAGAGAGGGAGAGCACCTATGAGGCCAAAGTGAATTAAGTTCTCTTTATAGCTGGTCAATTACAAAACACAGAGCTGAATAGTAACTGTGAACTACCAGAAAAAAAAGCCAAACCAAATCAAACCAAACCCAGACAAAAACCAAACCACTAGCGAACAAACTACTTGTTTTCAGACATCTTTTCTTCAGCAGCCGTGGGTTCCAGCAAACTGTGCAGAAGCTGAGCGAGAGCAAAGGCTAAATCAGGTGTGGTAATGGGAGCAAATTCTCCCCAGCGAGAAGCTGCTGCTATCAGGGAGGAGGTTACTGGGAAGTGGCATGCAGGACTGAGAGGAGTCTTTGGGTGAGATGGGGAGATACGGGAGAGAATATTCAGCGTAGGCAGGATTAGAGCTGTGCAGAGTCTTAATCTAGGCAGCCCTTTCTCTACACCTTTATCTGTCCTGGTGCAGCCCCTGCGTGCTGCAGTGCTGGTATAACCTGGCCATAAAACTGGATTAACTGGCCCGCGAGGATCATGGCTGAACTGAAAAGCAGCACGACAATATGCCTTTGTTTACATGCTCACTCCTGTGAGCGAAACACAGATCTGCACGAGACAAAGTGCTTAATTGCTGGTGTAGAGTATCATCAAATGAATGTGCATGAGTAAGAATTGGTGTTAGGGGAAGGATTTTGCTCTTTCAGAGCACACTCCATTTCTCTTACTGTTCTTCGCAATAAGAAGAGGTTATTTTATAGTATGGCAAGAAAAAAAAAATCCCATTATCAGAGGAACTTATTTTTAAATAAAAATGACAAAATTACCTTGCTGATTCACCCCTTGGAGATAAACCCCTGCTGCCTCCCTCCTTCAGCCTTTCCTTTCTGGCTCTTTCCTAACATTGAAAAAGAAATCTAGTGACTGCCTCTGATACGACTCGTAATTTCTTCAGCAACAGCATGCAAGAACAGATCCCTGACAGTTCCTCTTACTCCACAACGTTTTTAGCCCCAGAAGGAAATCTGCCTTGGACTCTGACCTGTTGGAGTTAATGACTCTCGGAAAACATTAAGACCAAGTCCTTAACGAATGTCACTCTATATCACCCTCCCTTTCTTCTTTTTCTGGATGTACACTACAAAGCTCAGGGATAACATGCAATATTAAGAATGTAATGACGTTTTATTTTTACTCTGCCAAATCTGTCGAGAATTAGAAGTTTTGCCACTCTGGCTGATTGCTTGTCCTGATTTGAAAATTTTGAATCTAGAGCTGATTTTCTTTGTTGGTCCCTCTGGTCTCTTATTTGCTCCCCGTTAACAAGGGAGACATGAAACCTGACTCCCCTTCCAGGACAGCCAAAATTTGATGCGGAAAGCATAAGAGGATAAAATATTTGGGAAAGGCATCCCAGGAACATTGTGCTGCCCGGAACGAGGGGTTTCCTAAAAGAGGGGAATGGCTTCGCTGAAATCACTCTCTTCTGGAGGAAAACCAGACCTCCACCACCCTCCTCCACGGGGACTGCAAGTTCTGTGATTCCATTTTCCTGGAAGCAATCCCTCTTTATTCACAGGGGCTTGGTTCTGCCCTGGGTTTGGGTTGTACCTGGGTGTGGGTGCAGTTCGGACAGGTATTTCCACACCACCACTCACAGGCACAGCAGCTTTGGAGCACCTGTTCATGGATAGACTCCCCCATACAGATTATTTGAATTTTAACCCCCCAAAAGTTTCCCTACCTGTCCACTACTGGTTACTTCATTTTCACCTCAAAATGCTCATTCTCTCCCCTACAGATTACCTCACAGATTTTACCCCCAAGATATAAATTTTGTCCCCTATAGATTACCTAGATTTTAACCACCATAAAATCCCAGTGACTACATCTACCTTATTCCCAAAATGTTCATTCTGCCCCTAAAGACTACCTCAGATTTTTCCTTCAGAATATTCCTGTTGTATTACAGATGACCTCAAGCTTTACCCCCAAAATTTTCCCAACCTTTCCATTACTGATTACCTCAGTTTACCTCAAAATGTCTGTTCTCTTCGCTCAGGTTTTACCCCTAAAATTCTCTTTGCATTACTGATTACCTCAGTTTACCTCAAAACGTTCACTCTCTCCCCTCAAGTTTTGCGCCCGAAATTCTTCCTTCCTTTCCATCACTGATTACCTCAGTTTATCTCAAAACGTTAATTCTCTCAAGTTTTATCCCTAAAATTCTCCCTTTCCATTACTGATTACCTCAGTTTACCCCAAAATGTCCGTTCTCTCCCTTCAAGTTTACCCCCAAAATTCTCCCTTCCCGCCCATTGCTGATCACCTCATTTTCACCTCAGTATGTCCATTCTCTCCCTTACAGATTAACTCAGATTTTACTCCCCAGAACATTAATTTTGTCCCCTACAGATCAGCTAGATTTTAACCACCACAATACCTCCAGTGATTACGTGGAGGACCTTTATTTCTGGGGGAGAAGGGGGGTCGGACCACCCCGTGCCCTGAGGGGGCGTGCGGGGGAGCCCTCACTGCGCGCGCGCCGGCGGCGGGGCTGGGGGAGCGGGGAGGGGGAACGAGCCGGTCCGCAGGGCGCTGCGCATGCGCGGGGCCGCTCCGCGCCCTCACTCGGGAAGCGGCCGGAGGAGGGAAGGGGAGGGGGAGAGGGGCGCCGCGCGCGCATGCGCAGGAGGGCGCCGGCGGGCGAGGGGAGGGGGGAGGAGGAGGAGGAGGAGGGAGAGAGGG